TATTTTATATGAATAAATATACCACTAATAATTGCTTTTATCTTTAATTGCAGGTTAATGAAGAATAAGAGCCCAAACTCTCATCTCTCAACAAAAAGCCCTTGATTTAATGAAGAAACGAAGCCCATGAAGCCAAAGGAATTCTTTCAAATATTTAATGAAGAAATAATTCAAAGCCCAATGGAAAATCAAGAGAAAATGCCAAACCCAAAAGTCCAAGCCAAAGCCCAAGACACAAGCCCAAAAGCCAAATACAAGAGTTCTGTGGACATCAACCAGAAGAAGGCAGGCATCGATGCCTGCATCGATGCCTATATCGATGCCTGCATCGATACCATCGTACAGTTTGTTATAGATCTAAGGCTAAAATTTATTGTTTTTGGATAAGATTTCAATCCAATGGCTCTCATTCACTGATGTTTACTATAAATAGGGATAGAGAGTGAGGGGTTGAAGGATAAAAAATTTTGTAACTCCATTTGGAGAGGAGAGCTACTCTTAATTGAGAAGGCCTTCCAAAAATTATAACTTTTGTTGCAATTAATAATAATAATTTTTCTCCTCTTTAAATTTTCTTTTCTCCTCTTTGTTGAATGATGATGATGGAGATGAAGAGCAATTTGAAGGTTTGCATTTCTTTTATTTTTATCTTTTATTTCTTTTTTGTAATTTCTTTATTATTGCTTATTAGTTAGATTTACATTCATGCTTGTAGTGTAGATTTATTTTCTTGTTTTTTTTATTTCTTTTTGTATTTTAATTTGTAGAGTAGATTTATTTTCTTGTATTTAATTTCTGTAATTTATTTTATAATTTAGATTTTTATTCTTTGTAGTTAGATTTATTTCTTGTTCATAGTTTAGATTTTTCTTTTCTTTTTATTTTTGTAAGTAATTCTTTTTTTTTCTTGTTTTTATTTCTTAAGATGTGAAATTAATTCTTGTAGGAATCTTAGAATTACATAAAACTAGTCTAATTTCCTTTATATTATATGAATTATTCTCTTTTACTTAAAATGTTCATGTTTAGGATAATCAACTAGAGAACTAATCGGTAGAAGAAGAATTTGATAATCTATACTTATCTTAAATGGTTTGATAGGTTATGCTTATGAATTCTAGGATTATTATCTTATTGTTGTTCTTATCATGAATAATAATTTTGACTTAGATGATAATTTGATAGGTTATACTTTCCTTAAATGATTTGATAATCTATGCTTAATAAATCTAAGTTGAATTATGATAAAAAGAGAATAGTTTATATTTTATAATTAAAATTAGCTAGTGGATTACATTCTAGATTTCTTACCTCTTTTGAATCCTCCATCTTAACTTTCTTAAATTTTTTTTTCATTTTTGGTTTTATTTCTTGATTTTATTCATTCTTCTTTCTTGCATTGTGATTTCATTTATTCTTTAATTCTTCTTTTCTCTCCTCTAAAATTCAATTTATTATCTCTTGCATATATTCACAACAATCACTCATCACAATCATACTTATTCTTTAATCCTATTTTGTCACGCACACAGCATAAGAACCTACTCTAATAATCTCTTAAAATCACCTTCCTCGTGGGATCGATAACTTTTTATACTATAACTTGATCAATTGTGCACTTGTAATTTTGGTACATAATTATGCCGCATCAATAGGTTCATATAATGTGTGTTAATTCTATAAGCTCAAATATACACACACATATACATTTGTGATTTTCTTAAAACATAGGTACTTTTATGCAAATTCTATGTTAATATGTTTTGGACTATATATACATCATAAACATGTTTTATTATGTCCACATAAATATTCCATACGTTTTTAAAACTTTTTTTGAGTCAAAAATCAAAAATCACATGTTTTATTAAACATGTATTTTAGTGTTTTTGAATATTTCTGAGATTTTACAAATGGTAAGAGCAAATTGAAAAATTCCTGTTCCAACATGTTTATATTCATGTTTATAAACTTTTTCCAAAGTTTTATATTTTTTAGAATTTATTTGCTATTTTTAAAAGAGGTTTGAAATTCATTTGTACTATTCAATTCAGGCTGAAAACATGTTATCAGTCGACGTATGGTTTTTATCAGTCGACTTATGAAACTGCCTGTAATGTTTAAAAAGTTTCTGTTTTTTATTCGGTCGACTGATCAGTCGACTGATGACCTCATCAGTCGATTGAAGAGATTCATCAGTCGACTGATAAGTTGTTAGCTGCCTATAACGGTCAGTTCGTCAGTCGACTGATTCAGCTTATCAGTCGACCGACGCCTGTAACGGTTAGTTTTTCTAGCTTTCTATTTTTTTGTCTTTTTGCTGGATTTTATTGGTTTTTGGGCTTTGGTTTTTTATCCTATATATACCTCATGTTGTTTCACTTCTGAAATTATCCAAGAGGGTTTTTAAAAAGAGTTTTAAGAGTTTAAATAAAAGTTTGTTTCTCAAGTTTGTGTTTGTGTTTACAAGGAGGAAGCTTGCATTGCCAATTGAGGAATTCATCCTCGATCTTCTTCATCCTCCTTTGTGTTTATAGAGAAGTTTTTCTAACTCTTTTATCTAGCAATTAAAACCTCTTTCTCCTTTGTGAAACCTCTTTATAGAGAAGTTCTTCTAACTCTTTTATCTAGCAATTTAATTGTGAAACCTCTTTATAGAGAAGTTCTTCATCCTCCTTTGTGTTTATAGAGAAGTTTTTCTAACTTCTTCATCCTCTTTCTCCTTCTCTCTTGCAGCCTAGCAGCTCGAGCAGAAGTAGGTTTAGAACCTAACCAAAATGTTAAAAATGTCATAATCTTGCTCAAAAGCTCAAGAGATCTCTTCCTCTTATTTGAAAAAATTCTATCGTTACGCTCTTGCCATATACACCAAATAATAGAGCAAATAACCACATCTCTTTCCAATTTGCAATTATCATCCTTACCCATAACCCAATTAAATTTCTTTTAAAGAATTCAAACTAAACTCTTTTTCAATTTTAAATTAATATTGAATAGATTTCCATATTAAGTATACAAGCTCACATTCCACAAATAATGTAATGACTTTCCTCTTCTTTGGAACATAAACAACACATCAAGTCCAGATGAATTCCTTTCCTATCTAGATTATCTTTTGTATTTAACCCATGTCTTAAAAGCCAACCAAACAAGAAATTTCACCTTTAAAGGAACAAGAAGCTTCCAAAGATTTGCACAATCAAATCATTAAACCCCATCAATAAGAAATTGATAAAAGGATTTAATTGTGAAACTACCTTTTGCTTCCCAAATCCATTTTCTTTTGTCCTCCCTTTGTTCAAAATTTATAGTCATAATAACATTCAACATATTAAAATATTGGAAAACTAAAATTCCTGTGAATTGCCTTCTAAACTGTATCTCCTAAGTCTATTCATCATTCACCTTCTTTCTTATACTGCTGATAGAAGCAAAAGGAAAAGAGGTGATATTAAAAAGAGAAGGAAATACAGAAGCAAGGGTAGATGAGCCTACCCATTTGTCAAGCCAAAATAAAGTTTGATTTCCACTCCCCACCTCCACATGAGTACTGCACAAAAAGCTTTCAGCATTATCAAAAAACTTCCTCAAAAACTGTGATAATTGAATTCTACCAGAATAAAAATATTATATTCAATTTCTTCTCTCAAAGTATTTGTAGAGTAAGTGCATATTACTTATCCTTATTATTTCATTCGTATGTTATCTCATGCTCCTACGTTTCGTTTTTGTTATACTTGGTATGAACTAATTTTGTCCTCATTGTCTATGTAATAGGTCCATAAATACAAGGCAGAGTCAAATTATAATAGCTTAAAGAAACCATTTTCAGTAAAAGTAGAATCACAACAAGAAGAATTATTTTGTATTTTCTAATAAATAGTTATATTTATGATCAACTTTATCTTTTCTATGTTCTGTATTTTCTAATAAAAAAATTCTCACTGCATGGCGTGGGTATATCACTAGTTATTTCTATAAATAGATATGGAGTCAAAGCCTTTTTTAGATAACTATACAAATTGATTTTAATGTACTTTTGTAGCAGGAGCAGCTATCACTCCTCATTAGGCTGAGGAAATGCTCAAAATTTGTTGGTTTCAATCATTTCGTCAAAGCGAACTGAGTTGAACTAGATTCAATACTAAATTGAACCAAATCACATTGGTTGACTGCAGCTGGGTGTGGTTTTGTTTGGTTTTGGGCATATACAGATGTTAAGCTAGGAATTTTAGGTAAAATACAACACATTTAAATCCTTAACCAATCTCACATCCCGCATTGAAGAGCAAATTTATCAAATCACCTATGTCGCAAGCTAGAACCAAACCTTTATCAATTAGATATATAAAATATTAGTATAAAATTACTTTTTCACTGAGAAAAGTGTGCTAGCTCATACAATTACATTGAAATCGGTCAATTTGATTATTTCCGGTTTCTAATATTTCATGACCGAACCTAACCATAGAAATTTGATTGGTTTGAATATTATTCAGTTCGCGCCGATGTGGGTTCACTCCTAGCGCTCAGGTCATAAATATGTTTAGTCTTGAATCAAAACTCAGAAGCTCGTGCATATATGACACATGCTTGGTTCTGCAAAACTTAATCCATCGCTAATCCAAAGATAAAAATTTTTCAAGTTGGGGTTTACGTGTAATCAGGGCTGAAGTCATCATCTTTCTACTCGGATCTATTTGAATTTACCTTAATTATCTGATATTTATTCCAAAATCCTTTGTTACCTAAAAACAAAAATTAATATGTAAGTTCAAAAGTTAATATGTTACAAGCTAGGATAAAAAGAGATGCGGGAACGAATCAGCCGGAATGATTTCATCCAAAGCAAATCCTAATCCCCCGGATTGAGATAACTCCTTTCCAATATAAGCGGATCATCATATCATTCATAATCCATTATCCATCCTGAAATATACCAAGCCTTATAAATACCCCTGTATCCCATTTTATCATCTTAATTCTCTTCTCTAGATTTTCATAAGCTCTCTTTCTAGATTTTCTCAAGCTCTCCCTCTCTTTCTCGCCCCCACTTGCCCTCTCCAATGGCGAACTCATATAGAGTTATGTGGGTATTATTTTTGTTAGTGCAATTTTTGTGTAATAGGGCTGCTGATGGCTCTCATATTCTCGCTAATATAAAAGAACATTTGGAATCAGTCCCGGCCACCGTTATCGATAATAAATATAGGACTGGTTATCATTTCCAACCTCGGAATATGTGGATGAATGGTACGCAATAGTTCTTCTCTTCTCATTCATTAATGCAAGATTCCAATTTTCTTTAGATCTCTATATTTTCTTCATTTCCTTTTTATTTTTCTATCTATATATTTGTTTCTCCTTGAAAGTTTCCTAGTTGCTACAGATACATTGACAAAATGTAGTCACATGTATATTCTTATTTTAATTTTATACCAAGTCTTTAACCATAGTTATCATGTAGCGCGCAGTTAATTGGAATTTTTCCATGTTAGAATATCTCAACCGACCTTTTCTTTCTCTTTTTTAATGCAATAATATGGAGAGAAAAAAAATGATCTCTTCGTCAGCTATATGCTTTGGAGCATTAAGGATTTTTCTAATTCTTGAGAAAACACTTTTTGATTGTATCTTTCTATTATATTGAATTTGGAGCCTTTCTATTATCAAAGTGGAGTAAAGATTCCGTTTTTTAATCATAACCTTTTGTTATTAGTGGATTAATATTATTCATTTTGAGTGAGGAGTGAAAATAAATGCAGTCACAAAAGAAACTAGATATACGAACAACCATCTTAACATTAGAAAATTGTGATTAGAGAAGTGAACTATTCACTATTTTTGGCATCCAAATGCTATTTCCGAAAACACAACTAAGGAAAAAGAAAAGTTTAAAAGCATTTAATATCCATTTTATTTTATTAATAAAAAGAAAATTTTTTTCGTGCATTTCTGAATAGTATTTGAGCTTTCACAAGAAAAGAATTGAAAACTCTCCTGCAATAATCAAATTGTCGACCATTATCCTTTACTTTTTGTTTCTTTCTTTTTGGAGAAAAGGCACACTAATTAAGTTTAACCAAGGTGTAAGACTTCATCATGAGCTTTTGATTTGTCTATATAAATTTTAATATGCTAAAATTTGAAATAAATTGTATTCTTTTTTCTTGCATGTGGGCTTAATTTTGCGGGATCCTTGCACTGAATACACAATCAGATCCAAATGGTACGCTCTTCTTACGTTCATTTCTCTCCCTTCGTTATTACTAATAATGACTATCTGATCTTTCAATTGTATTGCCCTAGAAAAAATTATTTTATTATAATAATAGTATACACATCTCCTCGTTTCATATTTTTGTCTTTGGTACAATTTAAAAAGGGAGTGGTAATTAAAGAGGAGATTATCTCCTTTACTTTTCTTTTCATTTTCAATATTTTGTCAAGTCATCTTTTTTAATACTTGAGTGAATGTGTGGAGGAGACTTATCTTTTCCGCCAATACTTATCAAATGTAGTTATTCCAGTATTATCGAGTTAAACAAGGCTTGGGTTGGCAGAGGGGGAAATAAAGTACAGAAAAGGATAAAAATCTAAAGTGCCTTTGGTGGAGGGCTTTTAGAAAGGGAAGGTGGAGTAAATGAAAATGAGGTAGAGCACGTGATAACTCAAAATGAACTAAAAATGAGGAGAAAGAATAACACCTCCAAATTTGATGGATTCAAGAGATAAAAAAAAAATTTATGTGTTTTCTCTCGCCTCCCTTCCTACCAAACAATAAGAACAAGATGTATGTACTTTCTTACACCTCAGTGCACCTCCCTTTACCTTACCTTCCTTCTTTAAATAAATTAATGTGTTTCTATAATGATTCCGCATTTGCGTTGACAGTATTATATCACTATGTAAGCATTTGTAAAATTGACAAATGTAGTTTCATGACTTTACCTTTTTCTTGTAGAAAAATGAGATCTTCATCATTAGTGTGTAATCATAAAAAAAATCATTAAAATTTTGTTACAAATGATTATCATCCGATTACAACCTTTTTTCTTTATTATCTATGGTTACTAACTTTTCCAACCTTTGATTGTCTTCATCATTTATTTCGACAGTCGGCAAAGTTGATTAACTATTTTTGATGTTCATAGAAACTTCTCTGATTACAAATAAACTAATAAATTTTTTTATCAATTAATGTAACTGAATGTAGCCAATCTTAAATTTTAGGTATAGACATCTTTATCACTGTAACTTCGTTTCTTAACCTAAAACATGCAAAGTTTTTTTCCTCAAATTGTACCAGGGCCAATGTACTACAAAGGTTTCTACCATTTATTCTACCAATACAATCCTAATCACGCATTTTGGGAAGCCCCTATTTGGGCTCACTCAGTCTCAAAGGACATGATCAATTGGGAGGCACTCGAACCCGCGATCTCCATGTCCAAACCCTTCGACCTTTCAGGTTGTTGGTCTGGGTCCACTACCATCCTACCCGGTAACAGACCTGTTATCCTTTACACTGGCATTGACACGCGTGGCTACCAAGTACAGAATGTTGCGTACCCCAAAAACCTATCTGACCCGTATCTTCGCGAATGGGTCAAGCCTGATTACAATCCGTTAATTACCCCCCCTGAAGATATCAATGTTACTAAGTTTCGTGATCCGACGACAGCCTGGCTGGGCCCTGATCGCCGTTGGAGGTTAGTCATCGGGGGGTTAAGGAAACATCGAGGGATGGCAGTGCTGTATAAAAGCAAAGATTTCATCCGTTGGATTCGGGCAAAACACCCACTACACTCAGCCCCAGATACGGGTATGTGGGAGTGCCCGGATTTTTATCCGGTGTCCACGGAGGGTAAATTGGGCGTAGACACTTCAGATTACCGTAACGGGTTGAAGCATGTACTGAAAATTAGCTTGGATAGAGACAGATGGGATTATTATACTATTGGTTCGTACAACTACACTGCAGAAAAATTTGTCCCAGATGGTATGATGGTGGATAACCGTACAGGATTAAGATATGATTATGGTAACTACTACGCTTCAAAGACATTTTTTGATGTGGCTACTAAAAGGAGGATCTTGATGGGGTGGTCTAATGAGTCAGATAGCAAAATTGATGATATCGTTAAGGGTTGGGCTGGTATTCTGGTTAGTTCAATTTACTAGTTCAATTTGAGCAAGTTCTGCTATAATTATGTTAGTTAACCTTTTTTTGAACTTTTTGGCTGTAGACAGTTCCGAGAGCTATTTGGCTTGATGCAAATGGTCGGCAACTAGTTCAGTGGCCCATTAAAGAGCTTGAGAAACTTAGAGGGGCACTTTTTTCAGTACAGAATAAGAAACTGCAGAGTGGCGGACTTGTTGAAATCTCAGGAATATCAGCTGCACAGGTAATTGCTCATTCTTGTTTTCATGAGCTTTGTTTTTCTTAAAAGGTCTTGTATAGAAACATCATTGACTATTTATATTTATACAAGTCGTAAAAGGTAAAATGGAAAAAATACCAAATTGGTATATTTTGTTTGTCCTTAGTGACAATTTGGTATATATATTTTTTCGGCGACATATTAGTATATTATTTTTTCTCCGGCGATATATTGGTATATTATTTGTTCTCCGGTGACAAATGAGCCTCAAGCTTGGCCGGACTCAAATTTCTGGCAAAATTTTTTACGTGACGCCTCACATGATACGAACGTGGCTGCCAACGTGGCTCCCAGTGACAAATAATTACAACTAATCACATCCAAAACCATCCTCTTCTCTCTATAAAAAATATAAAAATCAAGGTATTAAAGCTCACCACATTGAGCGCTGAGGGAGGATTTGAAGAGGTTGAAGGTCTGGGAGGCGTTGGAGAGGCAAGAGGAGCGGAGGAGGGAGGAGAGGGAGAGGTGGAGGAGGAGGAAGGAGATTTAGGGGTTAGAGTTTGGGATTGGAGCTGATTTATGACGCTAGAAGCCACGCTTGTACCACATGAGAAATTTCGCTGAAAATTTGGGTCCGACGAAATTTGAGGCCCATTAAATATATTATTTTTGTATTTTTGCCAAGATAAAATTATTCTGTTATTTTTTCACTAAATACTAGTTGGGAACAAAGAGAAGAACAACTTTTACAACCGTATACTCCTCTCAACGAAATTTTTTTTATTTAAGGAAATATAGTTTAACTCTCTAGTGGATATAGACTATTGAATAGTTTCTCAGAAGGAAAACTATAATGATGCAAAAGGCATAAGAAATGATTAAATGAGCAATAAAACATTAAAAAGGAAATAATTTCTTATTAAAATCAACTAGAACAAGAAAAAAGTAGTTAGTTTTTAATACGAAAAGATTTATATAGACTAATTAGTTGTTGCTACTAACTTTTCTTTAAATTTCCACTAACAGGCAGATATAGAGGTGGATTTTGAGTTATCAAACCTAGCAAAGGCTGAGACATTTGATCCACTTTGGACTGATCCTCAAAAACTATGTGAAGAAAATGATTCAGATGTAAAGGGTGGGGTTGGACCCTTTGGACTTCTAACCCTAGCTTCAGACAAGAGAGAGGAGCAAACTGCTGTGTTCTTTAGAATTTTTAAAGCTACTCACAAGTATGTGGTTCTAATGTGTCATGATCCATCAAGGTCTGTTATCTAATCTTTCATTTTAATAATATTCTTATTCAATCTAATCTAAGTGTAGATTTGGGGCTCCTGATGAATATATTTGTTGTGGATGGTGAGTAGGTCTTCATTGAGGCCAGGACTTTATAAACCAACCTATGGTGGTTTTGTTGATATTGAGATTCAGAAGAATGGCAAGATTTCCCTAAGAAGTTTGGTATGTTAATTATTTGACAAACCTATCTTTGATTTCCTTTTACACAACATATCTAAAAAATTATACGGTCTATGAAGGATTTGGACCCTCTCTACTACTTAATAGCAGTAGGGAGGTCACTGGTTTTTATTCATAACTATCTATGGTTTAATGAATGATTGTGACTCCATCTAAATTTTATCGTATACTATATATATCCTACTGTATTGCATTGCCTTCTTTTTGTTTTACTTAATAAGAATAACAATCACCATTAACCAATTACACACATATGTTTAGAGTTGTCCTTGTACTATAAAGTCTTTGTAAATCATGTGACACTTCAAAATGATAATTGATTTACCTTTTTGTAATCCTAGAAGTATTTGCAACTAAGGTTTTAGATACCCTTAAGTCGTATTATCCTACAATTATAGGAGGATACTAATATTACTAAATATATTTCTTGATAGCATGAAATAGTATTTTTTTTTTCAATTATGCTATAATGTTTTCTCCTGTTCTATGTTGTACTATAGATTGATCATTCTGTGGTGGAGAGCTTTGGAGGTGAAGGAAGAACTTGTATGACATCAAGAATTTATCCCACACTTGCAGTAGGAGACTCTTCTCACCTATTCGTCTTTAATAACGGAGCAGAAGATGTGAAAATCTTAAAGCTCGATGCATGGGAAATGAGGAAGCCTTTGATGAATGGAGAATAGATAGGCAACATTATAGAATGTAGATTTTTTTTCCATTTTCTTATTAATTAAATGCCACTGCATTCTCATAGTGTTTTTCTGCTATTTAGATTTTAATTTCTTTTATTAAGAATTATATTCTCAAGTTGTATTGATTAAGATCAAACTAGTAAAAGTTTGAAAAGTACTAGGAGCTGTATTGGGAGGGAAATGAGGACTATATGTTTTGGCTATCTATTTGGATTTGTAATCTTTCTTCATGCATTCTCTTTATTCGAAGGCATCTTTACTAGACCATTTTTTGGGGTTCTTTTCGACATCAGCCCCTTAAATTTCATATTTTGAACAAGACCCTCAAAATCATTGAAATTGCTAGTAGGTCCCTAAAATCTTAAGCTATTTTAATATTAGTCCTCAGATTATTAAAATTGAAACTACATCCCAATTCTTAATCTATTTTCAAATTAGTCCCTCAAATAAAGAGCATAAATAGCGATAGGACACATTAACAAGTAGAATATATTAATTCACTAGTACAAAAATGAACAAACTAGACGAAGCAAACTAGATGGAATTATTTTTCGTCTAGTTTGCTCCGTTTAGTTTGAGGCAATCTAAACGAAAATTTTCGTCTAGATTGCCATAGACGGAAATCTGGTCTTTTATTTTTTTAAAAAATTTTGGCAAGCATCTTAGATGGAAATTCCCTATTCCGTTTAGGATGCAACCTAGACGGATAACATCCTAAATGGAATTTCCGTCTAGGTTGCTTAGGCAAAAAATAAATTAAAATAAATAAATAAATAAATAAAATAAAATAAAATAAAATAAAAACAAACCCTAATCCTTACCCAATCCACACCCCGCTACCCCAACTCTCCCTCTCACTCTCTGTCGCTCCAACCCACGCCCCTGTTTGCGTCGAAAGTTAATGTATTCATTGCGGTATTCATTACAACTTCGATCGTTACAATGAAAACAAAAAAAAATTGTCTTTTTATAAGACTTTTACACAATGAAAACAAAAGTTTACAACTCTCGTCAAAACAAACGCAGAGATCGTTTATCGGTCTTCTGCTTGCGTGGGATCTTTGCCTGTGCCGGGGTTTATCCGTGGACCGCCTTAGATCTGGATCCGGTTGATGGAAAATTCGGCAGAGCTTCGCCTTCGCCGAGGAAGTATTTGATTTGAAGCGCTGAAATCGACCAATCAAAATCAGGGCTCTTCTCGAGATTAAGACCAAGCCTAATCTCAAGGGACGGACGGGAACGGGCGTCGGATCTCTCGAACTCTCCTTCTTTATGCCGAAGAACTCGCCAAGATCTGTCAACCCCCGCAGAAATTCGTGCTCCTTTGACTCCACAATCCGGCAGCACCTCCTCGTCTTGATAATCAATCGCCCCAGAAAATGGAGGCCTTTGGTTCATATTTATAGGCCTCAAAATGCGGTTATTTGGATAAGAACAAGGGATTTGGCTCTATCTTCAGTCAACAGCAGCCTAACAACGTTTAGGGATGATCTCAAGTCAGTTGGGAACCTCTGGAACCAACAATCTCGATTGAAAAAATCATCAAAAACGCGAACCGATCGAAACAGCTGCGGCGCAGGCACAAGTCTGAGACCCGCGCTTGCGCGCGGTCGGATGGAACCGACCCGCGGTCCGGTTGGGTCGGATGATTCCGCACCCGCCGCCGCCACTGCGCGTCGGATTGATTCCGACCCGCGCCGGCGCGGGGTCGGTTTGATTCCGACCCGCGCAAGCGCGGGTCGGATCATTCCGACCCGCACGGGCGCGGGTCGGTTTGGTCCGTCCTGCGCGGATTTTTTAGTTTCGCTGATTTCTTGTTTTTTACGACTTTTCCGATCTTCCGGGACTTGTAGTTTCTCCCGTTTTACTCATCCGTCGTGTTGACTTGTATGCTCTACGCGAGTTGATTAATGTACGTTGATTGACGCCATCGTGAACTGATTGACGCGCGCACTGATTGATATGCATGAGCTGAATGATGCGTGCGTGTTAACTGACTGTTGGGCGCGTTTGTACGCTTTGAGTTGATTAACGCGTGCGGTCCACTTGGCGTTTGCCCTTGTGGTGGTTCGTTGTCGTGTCATCAACAATTTGCCGATTCGCTTCATGCGCTTGTCGACATCGGATGATCCTCTTTACTTCGGATAATAATGTTCATCGCCTTCTCTTTGTCTCAAGCTGTGTACGGATACCTATAGGCATTTTTAGACGCCTACAGATACCCCCTCCAAAGTATTCCAGACTCATTCTTTTATTAAGGAGTCTGGAATGCTTTGGATAAGATAGGCCATCTCCTCAATTTCGTAGAGCGACCTTTAACTACCTTAATTCTTAACTTCTTCAGCCTTCAATCTATTCATTGTTCCGTCGAATAGATGAAGTTCTTCCGGCGCTGCGTTTATCGTCTGACCGTTGTCGAAATCTTGAACTGAGATTGGTGTGTAAGTTTCTGAACTTAGCTCGCGCCATTGAGTTGACTTTAAACTAATCCTCTCCGTCGGGAATTCATATCTGATTGTAACTGAAATTCTTGGAGTCATCTTTTGCCTTATTTTGGCGAAATTGCTGATGCGTTGACCGGCATCGATCTTTACTGTAACGCGTTGACCGGCGTTAACACAGTTTATACTCGTACGTTTGCTGGAGTCTACACAGTTTAAGCTCTTAAGGCATTGGAGCGTGACGGTCCCGAATGTTGGGCTGCAGGACCAACTATTAAAGCTGATTCATCTGCACGTGTGGATCTTATCCTGAAGTTTGTTGGATGTTCAAGTCATGAGACCAACTAATGAAGCTGATACGTCAATGACTCGCATTTATAGAATTTTTGGCAAATTCTCAGCCATCAACGGGTTTGATAAGCCTTTACCGACTACCGTTTGAGTCGGGCTAGCATGCGGATTATTTAAGTCCGTTCCGCACGTGACGTTGTGCTAAGAGAGTTAACGCTCTTAGTGCTACGATATTGAATACATAGACTTCGTCTTTCTCCTGTGAAAAGACTAAATAGCGACGTGTATCAGACGTAGACTTTAAGGTTTTTGGCATTTATAGAATTTTTTGGCAAATTCTCAGCCATCAACGGGTTTGATAAGCCTTTACCGACAACCGTTTGAGTCGGGCTAGCATACGGATTGTTTAAGTCCGTTCCGCATGTGACGTTGTGCTAAAGGAATGAACTCCCTTAGACTTGATGCTACGATATTGAATACGTAGACTTCGCCATTGTTACGGGAATAGGCTACCCGGCAACGTGTATTAGACGCTGACCTATCCCTACTTAGGCTTCGGGATAAAAGTCCCCAGATTGGAATTCTGGTGTCTTCTTCAATCGGTGAAAGACTAAACCGGCAACGCGAGTTAGGCGTTGACTTATCCCTAATTAGGGTTCGGAATAAAATTCCCCATGCGTGTGAGTCGCGGATTTTGGCGTTATTAATAACGGCCTGCCACAATGTCGAATATGTGGGCTTTTGTCCTTTTCACGGCAAAAGACTAACCGGCAACGCGTGTTAGACGTTGACTTATCCCTGCTTAGGATTCGGGATAAAATTCCCCATGCATAAAAGGCATGGATTTTTGTTGCTACGATACTGAATACGTAGACTCGGTCGTTTTTACAGAAACAAACCACCCAGCAACGCGGGTTAAGCGCTGACTTATCCCTACTTAGGCTTCGGGATAAAATGCCCCAGACTGGATTCTGGTGTCTTTTTCAATCGGTGAAAGACTAAACCGGCAACGCGAGTTAGGCGTTGACTTATCCCTACTTAGGCTTCGGGATAAAATTCCCCATGCATAAAAGGCATGGATTTTTATTGCTACGATGCTGAATACGTAGACTCGGTCGTTTTTTACGGGAACGAACCACCCAGCAACGCGGGTTAAGCGTTGACTTATCCCTACTTAGGCTTCGGGATAAAATGCCCCAGACCGGATTCTGGTGTCTTTTACAATCGGTAAAAGACTAAACCGACAACGCGTGTTAGGCGTAGGCTTATCTCTATTTAGGAGTTGAGATAAAATTCCCCGTGCACAAAGTACACGGATTGGAAGTTGGGAATTATGTCTTTTTTCAGGGTAAAGACAGACTGGAAAATGGAAGAGGAAGAATTTTATATTCTATCTCCCGGCACTGAAGAGGAAGAATTTTATATTCTATCTCCAGTTGGAAAGGAAACTCAAGGTGGGATCTCCACCATCAGAATCCGAAATGATGAAACTAAGAGTGGGATCTCCACTCCGAGAATCGGAAAGATTCAAACGACCCTAACTTTTATAGGATTGGTCATTCGATCCAAAAAGAGTCCCTCATTTATTGAGGAGAAAGCCTAATTTCGACCCTAACTTTTATAGGTTTGGTGGAAAAAGGAAAAGATGGAAGTCTTTCGTTTATCGAAAATGATAACTCAATCTTAGTCCTAACTATCTGCAGGTTTGACTAAGTAAAGTTGGAGACAATCCTAACTTTTATAGGTTTGATTGCTCAATTGAGAGTGGACCTCTCGTTCATGAAAGGAATCGAGAGGAGAATCTGGTTGTGGCCCTAACTTTTATAGTTTTGACCAAGGAAACAGTGAAAGTGGGAGGTTTGAGATGATCTTACCTTTTACAGGCTTGATCGTTCAATTTGAAAGTGGACCTCTCGTTCATGGAAGGAATCGAGAGGGGACTTTGGTTGTGGTCCTAACTATAGGAAGGTTTGACCAGGTAGACAGTGAGAGTGGGAGTACAAATCATAGTGGGGGTTTAGTGTTTATCACCTTGTTCGTAATTATCGGGTTATCCCTAAGAAAATTACATATAGCGTTCTTCTGGGAACTTCCCATTACATGAATCATCCACCCCCAGCTTCTTTCTTGGAACTGGGTTTGACTTTGTACTCCGTTACATGACCGGGTTATCCTTAAGAATATTAGCGTAACATTCTCCAGGAACTTCCCATCAACGGTAGGAAACAGTTTAGACTCATATACCTATTGGAGTATCAGGGAGCAGTTTAACCTCTTACACCGGTCGGAGGATTAAGAAGCAGTTTATACTCTTATACTTGTCGGAGTGTCCATTCGGCTCAATTGAGCGATATAACGCCGGCTTCAACCAAGGTTTGGATGCTATTCTTAAGAGCGAAGCAAGCCTTGGTAGGATGAAGGATAGCGAAGCAAGCATTGGTGGGATGAAGGATCCTTCTGTGGTATGCACA